TTTCATCTTCTGAAAAAGCTCAACACCTGGAGTAATATTTGATTATCTTAACAAAGAATGTATACTTTCTTATGTTGTACTGCAATATTCTAAGTTTATAGAGGAAGTCAAGAAAATTAAATATAGATGTTTAAAACTCACCGAGTTCCTCTACTCTCATACTACATGTATGCCACCCGTCGGTAAAAAAAAAAATGCGTCAAGTTGGGGTGAGGGGGGGGTTATAAATTAGAAATTCCTTCACACAAAAAATCATTGCAATCGATGATAGGGGGAGGGGTTTACAACTGTTAACATCTTGGTTTATGGTATAATAGAACGTTTACATGAATTAAGGGGATGCACCACTTCTTTATAGAGACAGGAATAAGCGGATAAGGTTTCTGCTTTTAGCCTATAATGACTTTTTAGCTCTAGAAAGATTCAAAAGAAAATAGAAGATTTGGTTACTGATATTTCTTTTTTTTACAAATACTTTCGAGAAATGCAATTTTTTTTTTATTTTATTTTTTACATCTTTTTTATTTTATCTTCTTCCCATATAATAACCCACAAAATTTAATAAAACAACAAAATAACTGCAAGTACAAGCTTATCTATCATTTTCAACTGACATTTAAAAAGAAGACGCATCACTTTTTAGATACATTATTTTAGATATACATGTAACTATATTAAGCAACTTCATGGTTACATTGTGTATATTTATACAATCATTTAAAACATGATCATACATGAAAATCAGAATATTTATTTAAGGCATTCTCTCTCTTCAATTAAGTTCATATTCTTAAATATTGCATTTCATAGTCAATTCCGAATTTATTTACCAATTATATTTTCGGTATGGCCATCTTTAAAAAAAAAACTGTTTGCTCCCTTGGGTTTCAAAATATTTTTTTCCTTTTTCATATAATGATACAATGTTGTTTTTTTTTTCACTCCATCAACCAGTATTTCAAAACTTAAAAAAAAATCATCTACCTACATCAACCCATTTTTTTACGCCAGTTAGGAGAGGGTAAACAATTATTTTTTAAAGATGGCCTTAGTTAAATCATTTTGTTTTCACAGACACTTAATGTACACACAGAAAAATAAAATTTAAAAGCCAAACAAAAATATATAAATGTTTTCGATCAATACATTTACAATCATTTAGAAAATAATTGGAATGTAGAATCATGAACAAGAGGCCCATGAGCCATATGGCTCACCTGAGTAACTGGCCAATGGCATGATGTTCTTTAACAGATTCTCTCACTTGGAGCATCAATTGTGGCCCCAGTGTACCCCCGAGGGTCAAGATTTAACAATTTAGAATCTACACTACTATAGTATGGTTCCACATAAGTTTCAGCTTTTCTGGCCCAGTGATTCTTGCGAACACTTTTAATGAATCCCCTCGTTTTTGGTTTCTTCTTAATTATCTCCCCTTGGAAGGAGAATTGGCCCTTCACTTTGACAATTTAAACTCCCCTTTACCCATGCTTTGTTTAGTTAAAATTGCCCAGTGATTCTTGACAAGAATTTGAAATGCAAAAACTTTACAGACAAGATGGACAGGCAGACCGACAGACAAAGGGTGATCAAAAAAGCTTACTTGAGCTTTCAGCTCAGGTGAGCTAATTATACACCCAGAATAATGATCATAGTATACATGTATAAACATTGTTAGGATTGGGGGAAAAATCATATGGAGACAAGTGGAAAGAATTTAAAATACCCATTTCTTTTTTTCCTTTTTTTCTAAATTGAACCTCCTTCCAAAAGAAAAATAATAATATACAAAAATGAAATAATATAATAATATAATTGTGGATGAACTTTAAGGTGGTAAGAAAAAATGAAGTCACCAGTTTTAACAACATGACAAATAACACATGTATGTGGGATTCAAATTTCCCAAACAGATAAACAGTAAGATAAGAGTTTAAAAATTGAATTGCAAAAATAAATTTATAGATTTTTATGGAACGCCATCACTGCCTTATAGCATACAACTATGCATTTATTATGTCAATTTATCATAATGTGATGTGAACGTATCTTTACGTTATGTCAATTTTTTATGAGATGATGAAAAATATCTTAACATCATGCCAATGCTGCATTACATAAAGTAAATACATCCTTTCATTATGTCAGCACTTCATAACTTGAAGTAAAAAATTAATTATGTGAAGTGATAATGTGTTTACATTGAGTTAAAACTTTATTACGTGAAATGAATGTTTCTTTACATCATTTCATTTCTTTAATATGTGAGGTCAAAATTGCATTACGTCAAGTAAATTGTGTTTTATAATTAAACTTATCATTACATGAAGTCAAAAATCCATTCCTTTTTGAGAGTGTATATTTCTATTATATCAAAGCATTATTACGTGATATGGACTTATCTTTATTTTACGGCGAGAGCATCATGATGTGAGGTGAACACATCTTACCTTCATGTCAGTGCTTTATTACGTGGTGTAAAAAGTGTATAACATGATGTGAACATATCTTTAGATTATATCAACACTTTATTACATTATGTCAAAACTTCATACCGTGATGTGGATATATTATAACGTTATGTCAACTCTTTCTTATGTGATCTAAAAATAGCTTTATATTGTGTTAAATCTTTATCATGTTGATTCCAAAAGTGCATTACCTGATGTAAAAATACATTTACATTATCTCAAAGCTGTATATCTAGTATATAATGAATGTTTTACAGATTGTTAAGGGGGGGGGGGTCCTGATTGATTAGGAAGTATAACAGCCCCCCCCCTCTTTTCCCAGACATAACTTTACTAGAGAAAAAGTAATGTTCATTGAAAGTACAGCCCTACCCCCACTTTTTGTTGAAGTATAGTCCACTGAGGGCAATGTGGTATACAGTATCTGAAAAAAAAAAACTTAGGACTGATCGAAGTTTGACCCCTCACCCCTCCCCGAAATAGGATTTTCGGGCTTGGACAATTTTTTTGGGCTTGTCAAGTTTTTTCGGGCAAATTAATATTTTTTTTTCTGGCTAACCTCCCCTTTCAAAAAATATGCTTTGTCACTGGAATTAGAAATTTTTTCAATCATGCTACGTCACTGGAGTTAGTAATTTTTTTAGATCATTCCAGGGCCAGAATTCTATTACAAAAATTTACCAGTTCTTCATCTAAATCAATTGAATATGCCTTAGTAAGCATGCATGGGCACATATCAGTGGCGGATATGGGAACAAGGAAGGGGGACGGTATATGGTTGGCATAGGCGTCGGAACCGGGGGGGGGGGGGGGGGGGCGGCGGCTTAGCCCCCACCCCCACTTTTTTTCCTCAGATAGACTTAGTATAGACATTGAACATCGCTGCGTAGGTTAAGCCCCCCTCCCCCCTACACGTTGTAGTTTAGGTTAAAAATAATGTAGAAAGTGGTGTTGTTTGGAAAAAAAATTGCTAGTGAAGTTCGAACCTACCCCCCCCCCCCTTCTTTTTGCTTGTCAGGTTTTTTTATGAAGGTATATAAAAAAAATCTTACACTTAGCCCCCCCCCCCCCAACACTTTCAATTTGCTTCCGATGCCAATGTTTGGAGACCAAGGAAGAAAGCAGAGAAGCTCCCAGGCTTTATATAATAGTTTTATATAAAAAAAGTTTTCAACTTAATTCAGCTAAACTTAATGTGAAATTAATGCAAAGAGAAGCTCTCAGGCTTTATATAATAGTTTTATAGAAAAAAAGTTTTCAACTTAATTCAGCTAAACTTAATGTGAAATTAATGCAATGTGCTACAAAGTATAACCAATAAATTTATTAATTTTTTGTATATTTTGGTCACTTAAGATGGTAGGGCGGGATTTCTGCCCCCCTCCCCCTACCCAACCCACCACTGCACGTGTGTTATACGATGTGCTTACACTTTTAAAAATAAGGAAAGTTAAAGACTGATAAAAATCTTATGACAACATTCTTAGTAAGATCAGAAGTTTAAGACTTTTATCAAAACAAAAACAAAAACAAAAAAAGAAAAAGAAAAAATTTTCTGCACGACTATTTGTTTCCAGATTAAAGTAAACGCCATTGAATTTCGACGTGACTTTAATGCACAGTCGTAGTGTTAAGGCTTTGCACCTTTCAAGGTTGTCAATCATTTGTCGCTTAAAGTTTTTATTAAAGATGCTATTTCAAATTCGCTGAGAATTTCTTCTACGACAGTTTTCTCTCCCGCCAATTTTAGTTCTTTTCGGAACGCAGAAAATACGTTATGCTCATATAAAGGCCGAGGATACACGTGTTCGCATAACGTAATAGTGAATCGACATAATGTAGAAGAGTGCGCACAGTATGACATGAGCTTTTCACATAATATCATAAAGAATTGACGTAATGTAATGAAAGGTTGACACAATGTAATTGTTGTTTAATTACATGTCATAAACAGTAAACATAACGAAATGCAAGTTGACAAAATATAATTGTAGTATGTGTAAATCTCATAAAGTGTTGACATAATGTAAAAGAAAGTTGACACGATGCAAGGGTAGTGTGGGTTAATGTCATAAATAGTTGACATAATGTAATAGTAGTGTGGGTTAATGTCATAACGAGTTGATATAATGTAAAGGAAGGTTGACACAATGCAATAGTAGTGTGGGTTAATGTCATAAAGAGCTGACATAATATAATGGAAGCTAGGTTGACATAAAGCAATAGTAGTGTGGGTTAATATCATAAAGAGTTGACATAATGTAATGGAAGGTTGACACAATGCAATAGTAGTGTGAGTAAATGTCATAAAGTGTTGACATGATGTAGTGGAAGGTTGACGCAATGCAATGTTGTGTTCTGCTATAAGGCAGTGACGGCGTTCCATAGATTTTACTGTAAATTATTGTACCCTGCAAATATGTAAATGTACGTTACCTAACAAAAAAAAATACTTTGTTTTTTTTTCTTTGGTTCTATTTTCTTCATTTAAATAAATCCATATCAATTTGGTAGAAAAAATGAATAAAATATTGTTATATAATTTACTTAGATGTCTATGATACAAAACAAAAATATCAAATATTTTAACAGATGCCTTTAACACATTTTTAAGGTGGCAATATAAGCAAAATCTACATACTTTTGAAGTAAATTGCTGTCGTAAGCAATACTAGTACCCTACCAAGATGTGTAATTTGGTTCCCCATAAAAAAATCCAAAAAAAAAAAAACATTGAGTTGACAAAGAATACAAACTTTGTCTGTATCTCAAAATCCTAGACTCACATACTAAAATTCAGCTAAGTATCTACAATCATGTAGATTACAAAAGATGGGGAAACAAAATTTAAACAGACAAGCAGACAGCTAGAGGAATAGGCAGATACACAGATAGTCAGCCAAGGAAGATACCTATACAAAGTTCCCTCCAGTTTTACTGGTAGAGGACAAATAAATATATAATTATGTACTGTTCCTACCACATTTAAATTCATACATGTACCTCCGAAATATGGCTATAATATTGTCGATTCAATATAAAACAATAATCATTAATCAATCAATATACATGTATATGTACAAAGCAACTTTTTGTAATCAGTGAGTTTTCACAGCAATATGCACAAGATGAATCTGAAAAGTCACTGATTATGGTACTGAACAGCACAGCTCTGCTTTTCAGTACAAGTAATCTTTCAGTAAATTCTCAGTCAATTTTCAGTAAACCAAAGGGCAAAGTTTCTTCCTGTGACAAGAAAGATTTATGTCATTAGAGAAACAGGCGTAGGAATTCCATTCAACCTATCAGCATTCCAGATCTCACTAACTCAGTGGTGCAAAAGCAAGCTGGCAAAGTTACACCAGAGGCCCTTGGTTCAAGTCCCAGATAATAAATTTTTCCTAACTATGTATAACATTGATTTCCTATCTAAATGTGACTGTATAGTAACAATGTGCTTGGTAGGTATTATAAAGCCTAACTAATTTGGTTATGGCACTTTATAAATACATTGCATTTGAAAGAATACAGATTATACAATAACATATATGAAGTATAAGGTGTAAAAAAATACTTTTGATTTGTATACATCATGTGCAAGAAGCGAAAAAGTGCTATAAACCTCTATAAACATGAAGAAAAAATTAACAATAAAAAATTCTGAAAAATGGATGTGTCTTAATTACACATATCATATATATGTACATCTCCATTTCAATCCTCACAATCAAATACAATCATAAAAGTGTACATGTATGATGGAAAGTTATGCTGCATTTAATTAATTAAGATATCAAATTACAGGGTTTAGATATAAATATAGCACTGAATGATTTATAAATATAATTGAAAGAACTTAGATATACTATAAAATGAGATCAAAAAGGTTTTCACACATTTACACAAATGGAAAACTGGACAAAATGATTTTCAATCCAAGGAAACTATTCTACTTTTTCTTTTTCCATCAAAAGATCTACAAAAGAATAAAATATTTATTTTGAAAGTTCTGCTCTACAAAATGCTAAAAATTAAAGCAGTTCTAATCTATTTCATTAATTAAGGTTCATCATTAATCTGGATGATTTGCCTGGGAACACGAGATTTTAGAATATAATGAGGCTAGATTGAATTGTCTTTTCTTCTTTTTATTTAAAATTTCTCTGTTGGAAATTGGCACTTTAATCAAATTCCAAAAATTCCTCTATAGGATAAAAAAGGATAAATAAAAAAAATGGGAAAGTTGGCAGAGGCCAGAGAGTCAAATACTTGGAAGCCAGGCTCCCTAAACGAATTCAATACAAGAAAAATTGACTGAAGTCTCTAGATGATCTGACCTGAAAAACAAAAGGCTCAGGGGCCACATCACTCACCTGAGCAACTGGCTGGGTAAAAGGATAAGTCAGGTCAGCATGGAAAAGTTTAAATATAAAAGTGGTTTCAGAGGGGGGGGGGGGGGGGGGGGGGGGGGGGGTGAATTTGAACAAACTTAAATCTATACTTTTTTGATGCTTTAATATTCAGGATAAATCATGGCTTTGTTGTTCTTGCAAAGAATTTTTAAAAATTTGACTTGACCCTCTATGAGATGTTTTTAGATGTTAGTGTAGCGAGTATGCAAGCAGATCTAACATTATTTTTAATTAAATTGACTTTTTGGGGAGTGGTAGGGTTGAACCATTTGGAAAATTTTACTCTTTTCAATGCTAGACTGATCTCTGCATTTTGCTAGCTAAATCACTAAGGTGAGGAATGTTGTCCATGGGATCTTTCATTAAAACAACCTGAGGTAAGATGTCAAAAAAAATATATATACTTACACAGATCGCACCAAAATACTGCCTTTGTGTTGGACTTTAGTTGAAATTTCTGGGTCATATTTTTTCCATGTCTTTCCACTATCTAAGCTGTATTCAGTGAGCGTTCCAGGGAAAACTGTGTTTACTTCCAAAATTGAGTTACTGAACCTGTAAATATCACCAGGTACATGTACATTAACTTATTACATTTCAAAGTGAGAGCAACAACAAACATAACTTTGTAAATTCAAAACTATAAAATATTCCTCCACACTGCATCATTTTTTTTCATAAACACCGAGTACTTTAATTCAGGTAAACAAAAATATCTCGACTCCACTTCCTCAATACCTTACAATATTACCTGAATTATAAAAATGTCTCAGAACTAAACTGAAACAATTCAACCAGAGGAAAAAAAATCCTACTCCATGTATACTTCCTTCTTTTACTTATAATATGCTTAAGCTATACATATAAGAAATTCTTCTTGAACCTCTAATGTCATGTTCTAGCCCAACAAAGATGTCTTTGATTGCATTTTGTTTGTCAGACATTAGAAGCATAACACAAATGACCTCAAACATTTACTGCCAGTGTACCTTGCCCCGGGAGGGTCCAGGCGAAATTTGACCCCCTTCTCCTCCAGTCGCCTCAGTTCCTTGTGACCCACTTTGTTGACAAACACCTCCCAGTCGGTCTGCTGCTTCAGACGCCGTCGGGTCGGGTCCTTGATGTTTTCCCAGGGTGCTTTGTGCCAGGCTCGCTCAGCCAGGGCCAGAAGTCGGGGGAACAACATGTACTCCATCTGGTCAGCATTCCTGATGCTCTCTGTCCATAAGTCAGCCTGGATTCCTTGAAAAAAACAAAACATTCAGTTCAATGTCATCATCAGTGTTTTCCCTAAGAACTGTCTACCAGCCAAATTGACAAATTTGTAAAATTACAATTTTTTGTCATCTGTGGACTTTCAGTAAGGTGTGGCATTCTCAATGCAACGTATTTAGTGTCTCTCAGATGGGAAATTGATTTTCATTGGTTAAGAAATTAATAACATCAGGAGTTTTAAATTGTTGTTTACAACAATGAGATGATTAAAGCCCCACCTCTTAGCCGTACAAGATGCTGTTATTAGATATTTGCTACAATTGTTGACTTTCACCAGAATTTCTATCCCATGTATATTTCAACAATGAATGAAAGCAGCTGTGTAAATTTCAAATGCCAATTATGAATGACATGCCTTACTGAAAGTCCAAAGATAACAGAGAATTTACATATTAAATAGCTATTTAACCTTAAAAATTTTACCTAACTTACAGTGGAAGTGAAAACAGAAATAACTCTGGTTTACCTTTAATATTCCTCTTTTTAAATTTCCTCAGAATTATCACATCTATTTTTATTTTTAGGGGTGGGGGTGGGAAGGAGGCCTAGTACTTTCAGTACCTTGATTCTCATACCTTTGATATTCTGAGGCTCCTTTAAGGGAGGACAGCCCCCTGAGCACAGAATACTGTCTGTCATTGGAGCTCCATTGTGCTGGGTCCCTCTGTTCTTGTACAGATCGTCAGGCTGATAACTGAAGACAGTCTGAGTGTCTATGTACCGTGTGGCCCAATACAGACCTCTCTCCTCAGGGTCAGGCTCATAGGGGTGGTCCAAGTAAAAGTAGGTGGCGGGGGACATCACTACCTGTAAAATACCAAGTAATTAGGTCTGGCATATTATGAGAGTTACAATAATTATATACGAAACTTTTCTTTTTTGAGGGGGTAGGTGCTCAAAAAGTGGACTCATTTTTTTACTAAAGTTGGTATGCCTGACAGGTATAGTCACAATCAACTAATTATAATACAATTTGGCAACAATCTGGGAAAAAAATGTTTTGATTAGCTACATAGCTTACAAATATACTTTTACTTCATGCAAAAGAACATGAATCTTCCTTGGTTAAAAAGGTCATCAGGGGCGGATACAGGATTTGTGGTTAGGGGGGGCGTGGATAATTTGTTGAGGCAAGGTCTGGGGGCCGCCTTAAGGCCCCCAGTGGGTCCAGGGCGAAGCCCTGGTGGGGGCCCAGGGGGCGAAGCCCCCGTAAGCCCCTGGGTTTTCGTGTATTTTAGAGTAAAATCAGACACAATAATACTGCATATTTTTCAATTATTTTTGTTAAAAGTATATAGCATATAGGTGGTGGCCCAGGGGGCGAAGCCCCCGGAATCTTCTGGGTTTTCGTGTATTTTAGAGTAAAACCAGGCACATATTAACCAGTGCATATTTTTCATTTTATTGTTGTTAAAAGTATATAGCATATAGGTGGGGGCCCAGGGGGCGAAGCCCCCGGAAGATCCTGGGTTTTCGTGTATTTTAATGTAAAACCAGGCACAATAATAGTGCATATTTTTCAATTATATTTGGTAAAAGTAAATAGCATATAGGTCCGGATGTTTGAATAATAAATGTATTGAATGTTTCTCAATTCTCATTGTATTGTAACACATGCCACTATATAATAAACGATTTACTTACTTATTACTTACTAATAGTGGTATTGGTTAGTGATGTACCAAAGTACGACGTGTTTAATCCTAGTCATGTCATACTTTGAATAGTGGGGGCCCAGGGGGCGCAGCCCCCGGAAGCTCCTGGATTTTTGTGTATTTTAAGAATAAAACCAGGCAGAATAACACTTATTTGGTTAGTTTTGTACCAAAATGTGGCATTATAAATATTAGTCACATCATACTTTGAAAATTTTAGGGGGGGCGTGCGCCCCCCACGCCCCCCCTTAAATCCGCCAGTGGTCATGACTCTGTTTTTAAATAATTATTCAATTTTTTCAACCAATTAGAAATTACCGCCAAGTGATTTATAAGCAGTATTAAAGCATATCTGAACACTGACTTCAATCATTTAGTGAAGCAAATCAAAAGTGACCTGTAACTACTTTTATAGTATTCCTCAGGACTAAGCTGAATCTGAATAGACAAGTACAAACGTAAGGCTTTTATTTACCTTGTAACCAGCATTGGCAAGTTTGTAAGCCAGAGATCCTTTCCTCCATTCCCAGATGTTGGTCCAACTATATGTGTAGAGCTGTCTGTAATTAATAATCAATATAAATAAACCAGAAGATTAAATATTGATTAGTTTTTTCTCAACTAAGCTAGGTGACATGCTACACAGAGACAATATGTGTGTTTAAGCTAAAGAATGTAACTGTTTGATTGAGAATGTGGCAGTCAGCCGGGTTCGAACGCCGGTGCCGGATAGCTCAGTTGGTAGAGCACCTGAATGGAGATTCAAGGTGCCTGGGTTCCAATCCCGGTCCCGGTCATTTTTTCCTCTCCCATTACAAGAAGAAACATTTGAAAGTGCAGACAAAAAATAGAAGAAAAAAAATTATCGGTAGCAAATTTATGAAAAATTAAAAAAAAAATTGATAGAAAATTACCTGGTCTGGGAGCCATAAAACTTAAATGAGCTCATTTTTGATCCAAGTCTAACTATTATACTACACGTAGTAATTCCTTTTGGTGAAAGTGAGACTGAGATCTAAAGTGGGCTCGGTTAAGTTTTATGGCCCCAGGCCTGCTCTTATTTTTTTCTTCCTCGTAACTTACCCTTTTTTGCTTTCCTCCACTGGATGTGGCTCCTGGTTATCGTTTAAAACAGCATCTTCCCATAATCCAACACTCAAGCCCTCCAGCTTCAACTCACTCATCAGCCTCTTGAAAAAATATTTCTTTAAATCATGGTAACCATTCAGTCCCTTTTCCTTTTTAAATTTTTCACACATGGGTGACCTTTCCCATGCTCCTCTGGCAACCTCATCCCCACCCAACATATAAAAGGTCAAAGGTTGAATGTCCTTGTGCAGGTCATGAAGGTGAAGTATAATGACCTTGAAAAATTCGTAGGTGGAATCCAGACAAGGATTCACAGCATTGTCTGTGTGTGCCTGGGCAGACCTGTATTGAGATTTGTCGTTCGGGTCACTGAGGCGATATTTGGCGTCTTTCGTTCTCTTGTATCTGAGTTCCATGGCCTTGACCGCTGACCCAGCGTGACCCGGGACATCAACCTCTGGAATGACCTGGATGTGCCTGGCCTTGGCGTACCTCAGAATCTCTTTGTAGTCTCGTACGGAGTAGTAACCTGACCCAGATGTGTTGGTATACGGACCGGATCCTAACGAGGGTGGAAGGCAGACTTCACGTGACGGGTCATAACAGCGATTAGCAGCAAACTACAAAATTAGACAAAATTAATTTCCTTATTATCCATTCCATACAGTTTGTAACACAAGCTTAGTATATGTAACCACCTTTTATTACAATGCATGTGCATGTTGTTAAAACTTTAGTAATTTAAAAGCCAAACTATAGTAGCTGGGCATCATTTTAATTCATGTGGGTAAATGTTTATGGGCAACCAATAATTTTCTGGTTCACGAGTGCATAATTTTTGAATTTTTGAAATGGTAAGCTGAAATTGGAAATGAGGATGCAAATATGTGGGTATGGGTGATTCATGAACATTATAATTAATTCATATTATCTTTTATTTAAAATTTGATACTTATAAATTACACAAATTCAGATACATTTATACAATGTACTCTGCAAAGTGAAAGTTTATTTTAGTTTTGTTAAAGCAAAGAGAATGCAATTAAGAAAATGTACTTTGAAATTAAAGAAGACAAAATTTGCAAAGTGCATTTCTAATGTAAGCTTTGCAAAGTGAAATTATGACATTTACTTCATATAGATGAATTTCACATTCCTAAGAGTTATCTCCCGTTGTCAGTGTAACACTCATTTCTCCCACTTTGTCATTTGTAAGTTACCTGTTAATATTTTTAATCTTCAAACAATATCGGGCAATTTCGATCTGTGACTGTATTGCCACAATATGGGGCAACATTAAAAAGCAAAATAAACATATACATGCATACAGATTTCATTTCTAATATATTGCCCCATAAAGTTAGTAATGTTATAGAAAAAAAATCAGTGCCTTTTGCCGGTTGACCCCAGATTGACCCCGCAAAGGGAAATAACTTTTGTAAATGTGAAAATGGCCTATTTTCAACCCACTTATCCTACCTTTGTTAACTCTGGGAACTGTGGCACCTCAAACCTCCAGCCATCATCATCAGTCAGATGGAAATGGAACTTGTTGAGTTTATACATCGCCATTAGATCCAACAACTTCAAGACGTCCTTTTTGGTGACGAAATTACGACTTACATCCACCATCAGTCCTCGGTATTCGAAGCGGGGGGCATCCATGATCTTTATTTTTGGAAACCGATAACCGACGGACTTAGTTTTCTTGTCCTGCTCTTTCTTCATGAGAGAGAAAAGTGTTTGTACAGCGTAAAATGCTCCAGGTTCAGAATTTGCTTTAATTTGGATTGTATCTGAATCTGGGTCAATCGAAATCTCGTATGCTTCTGAGAGAGAAAGACTGGATTCCGTTGGCAAGTTGATTTTTTTGCGGGTGAAAGTTATGACAGTCGAGATGGCTTCTGTTTTCTTCATTTCTAACTGAAGAATTTCTAAACAATAAATTAAGTATATGAGTAAGTAAAGTAAGAGTGCAAACAATTATACACTTTCAATTGATAATTCAACAGTTTCTTATCCAGGGACCTGCAATGTTTTTGGATACATTGCATATAATTACACATTGTATATATTATGTAAACATGTAAATGTTAAAAGAAAATAAAAAAAGATAAAATATGTCAACTTATTGGCAGATTAAGTGAGAGATAAAGCACATAACCCGTGCCTGCCAAAAATTAAGAAGAATTCAAAAGACCTCTCGAGTTTCAACTGCCAGTAAACTTCAATGCATTAAAATGGAGAATTGTCAGCTTAAAGCTGTAATTAAGCTCCTTTTTTTTAGTGAAGTTTGCAATTATCTTGAATGTTAAAATCTTCCCTCTTTTTTTAAAGAAAAAAAAAATACCAGCGAGTAGTTTGGCCTCCTCCTTAAAATCTTGAGCGTTGACAACCCAATCTCCGGTAGTCACCAGGAGGGAATCCCCATCACTCCGCTCCACTCTGAGGGGGGTGGGGAGGACAGAACTCAGGGGGACCTTACGTAAGTTACTGGGTACTGCATTCCTACAACAGAGATGAATTTGTAAGTGTCAAGTGCTGAAAAAAATGAACATTTAAGTTTAGGTGTCTAGTAAAAATATCCTGCTAGCCTTTCAGACATTTAACTTGTGCAATCATAAAGAGAGTCATGATTTTCTTTCATAAAAATAAATGTGATTTCTAAACAAATACAAAGAAGCCTGTTTATCTACATGTAGCTGCTATAAGGTAATGAATGAAGCCCTCTCTGATATATTTTACCTGATATTCTCTCCTAAACAAGAGGCCCATGGGCCACATCGCTCACCTGAGAAGCTTTGACCACAGTGATTGGGAAGGGCTTGCGCCACGCCCCATAGTCGCATTGAAGTGAAATATGGCGCATTAAATCAACCAATCATGGCGCCAAGGTGCGCATTCAATTTTTAGCGATGTTATTTGGAAATATTTTGTGTACGACTTTCTTTCTTGCTTTACTTTCGTTTTAAATGCAGTCAATTTAAAACAACAAATCTCATTGGTTGAAACCTGTCAAAAAGTACTTCCGGTTAAACGAAGCACTTACATGAGGTACAATACTTCATTCATTTGTATGGTAGGGCTGATCCCTTTCCAAAACTGTCGAAATTTTAACACAAAATACGGGTCAGTTATATTCTAAGAAAGTTCCTTTAAATTTACTGCATTTCATGTGTTAAAAGTCGGATTCAGTTAATTAAAAACGTGTTTTCTCTCGTATTTCATATTTGTTTGTCACTTTGTTATTTCTTAAAATGGCCCTTCAAATTATATTGATGGCCCATTCATTTTCGAAATGGCCCATCAAAAATGTTGACTGTTGCGCCATAGTCCCATTGACCATTTTGGCCTTCCCAATCACTGTGACCATTCTGTTCTTTACCAGATTTTCCCCTTGTAATACATATTTCGACTCCACCCTACCCCACTGATCATAATTTAGACAATTTGAAATCTACATTACCCCAGGATGCTTCCACATAAGTTTCAGCTTTTCTGGTCCAGTGGTTCTTGAGAAGAAGATTTTTAAAAGATTTTTCCTGTATATTTCTATGTAAAAATTTGATTCCCCATTGTGGCTCCGCCCAACCCCCGGGGGTCATGATTTGAACAATTTAGAATCTACACTACCCCAGGATGCTTCCACATAAGTTTCAGCTTTTCTGGTCCAGTGGTTCTTGAGAAGAAGATTTTTAAAGATTTTTCCTATATATTTCTATGTAAAACTTGGATTCTCCATTTTGGCCCCGCCCAACCCCCGGGGGTCATGATTTAAACAATTTAGAATCTACACTACCTCAGGATGCTTCCACATAAGTTTCAGCTTTTCTGGCCCAGTGGTTCTTGAGAAGAAGATTTTTTAATGACCCCACCCTATTTTTGTCTTTTCTTGATTATCTCCCCTTGTGAGGGGACTTGGCCCTTCATTTTTACAATTTAAATTTCCCTTTACTAATGAATGCTTTGTACCAAGTTTGGTCGCAATTGGCCGAGTGGTTCTTGAGAAGAAGTCGAAAATGTGAAAAGCTTACAGACGGACGGACAGCTAAACGGACGGATGGACGGACAAAATGTGATCAGAAAAGCTCACTTGAGCCTTCGGCTCAGGTGAGCTAAAAGGGGAAGGGGCTGTGCTACATTATTGCAGCTACTGTTTAATGCTTTTTATTTTCAATATCTTTTATTTTTCTATGAAATTGAGCAACAGTGAAAAAGCACACTATGACGCATGAAAAATAAATATATCTACATAGACTTATGTCTTCAAATGTAAAAACATACATATGTAATAATTACACATAAAAAATTTTGGGAAAATTTAATTTTTATATCAATACCATACCTTTGAAATCTGTCCTTGGCTGTGAAAGGTTTATGTAGGTCATTTTCAAATCGTTTATACTGCTGCACTTGGGAGAACTTTTCAACAAAATCCAAACTTTCACTTTGTGTGCATTTCAAAATTCGGGGGGCACATGTGAGGCACGAAACATACCAGTTGGGAAAAGAAAAATATCTAGAAACATGAGGTCCATACGCATCATATTCCACCTCAATTCTGTCATCCGGATTAATATATGGGGGAAATTTATCTGTCGGTTGCAGTCGATAGTGATTTCCTCCCTCGTGAAAAATCAGCAGTTCCGCATTATCTAACCTTAGACCTTGAGGATAAGGAAACCTGCTGTTTCCAACGAACGTGATGTCATAAAAGTATATACTCCACGTAAATCGGGGTATTGTTAGCCGTCCTACGTTGTGGAGAGAGATTTTCTTTAGTGCGTCCGATGCTGTGTTCTTGATGACTGTGAAGTTTATGATGAAGTTTTCTGCCATGTAATTGACGTAGCGTTGGGATTCTTCCTCCGATACTTTTTGTACTTTCTGTGTGACTTTAGGATGATCTACAAAAGAAGTTAAATAAATATAAATATTAGGCCAAAAAAAAGTAATCAATAGTTTCTCGGGCCAAAAAAGTCAATGCAGCAGGCAGGCATTTTTTTTCTTTTTTGAAGCAGGTTTTACACCTTTTTTTAAGCCATTTGTTCAATAAAATGATAATATAACCTACTAATTCTTAATTTTTGTTCTCTGAAATCACCGTAGTTATAATATATATTCAACTTAAGATAATGTTATTCCAAACATTTATTTAAAAGATAATTCATAAAATACTGTAAATTTAGAAGAAATATATTGTTTTTCTAATAAAAACCACTATCTTAGCATTATTTAGCTGCAGATCTATAGCTCTCCAAAAAAATATATATATTGATAGACCGGAGAGCTACAGTGCCACCCAATGAAAAAACTGTATATTTATTGCGCACAAAAAAGTGCGCTCGGTTCTCGATTAATTCTTCCAAATTCTTATCTCAACTGCAAAAAAGGGAAGATTTCAAAAAATTCCTCTCTCCTCTATCAAGTACTCTCGTAGCTGACATCTGAAGGAAGCATATTGGACCGAATTATCTTTGAAACCAAAATGGCAGTATAAATAAGCGAAATGTTCGATGATTGCAATATCTGGACCAGGAGGACCATTAACAACAATTATGAGGAATGTTTTGTTGTGGAAAGAGTCAAAAAATATGTTAGGAACACACGGTTAGTAATTATTTCGAGATTACAGTTTTAAAAACATGGAGAAATAAATCGAGAACCGAGCGCACTTTTTTGTGCGCATTGATTATACCATTTTTTCAATGGGTGGCACTGTAGCTCTCTGGTCTATCAATATATATTTTTTTCGGAGAGCTACAGATCTGCAGCTAAGCATTATTTTATGAAAAAGGGAAATTCAATAACTTGATTTGTCTTTTTCAACTTGGAAAAATAGAAAATTGAGCTCTTTCCCTTTTCAATACATCAATAAAATTTATCAATGCTGCCGTTTTTAAACTGATGCAGCAGTGCCTGAGAAACTATTGATTATTTTTTTTGGCCTTAAAAAATATTTTCTTATAATAAACCATGGTTTTCCAAAGGATCATCATTCCTTAATCGTAACAGTCCAAATACAAACAGTAAACTGTGTATACAGGGAAATTTCGCCCCCGTTTCATTTTCCCCCCTTTTGCCATGTTTGCCCTAACCTCGGTTGGGCGTCGTTAAAAACGGGGCAAATTCAAGGAATACAGTATGATTACTTAAACAAAACTCTGTCTGTGCAAATTTCGTCATTGGCAAAATAAATACATGTAACATATATATACACATGTATATGAAAAAAAATCTTATAAATGACCTCTTCAAATGACAAAATTCACCTCTTTACTTAAGAATTACTGTAGAAGTACTTTTTTACGCATGGTATTAATTTACGCTATATACGCGGTCACAAATTTTCCACGGAAATTTGTCCAAGCATACTTTATATAAATGTAAGGCATAGAGTGACAATCTAGAAAATCCCAGTTATTTTCTACCCGCGGATTAAACAGAAATTGAAATTCCGCGGAATTATGACCCGGTGGAAAAAAGTATGTCTACAGTATTGGATGCCGTAAAAATACTAAAAATACCTTTTTCATGTACTTTGTCATGTGAACCAGATTTCTGAGCTGTTGGAAGTGGGAAAGAAAACTCTTCAATCAGGTAATTATCACTGAAAAAAAAAGGAAAACAAGATCATTTTATACATCTAATCTTCATATCTTTGACTAGATCTTTTTTAAACTTCAGCAAAAAAAAATATATTCCAGATTTGAATTCCAGTTGAACAAGCTTATCTAATCTTCTTGCTTTTTTTGTTTTAATTAATAGCATTCCCATTACTAAAGCAAAAGCAAGCAATTTATTGTCTCAATTATTTTTCCCATACTTACATCCTTCCCTTCACCCCCCCCCCCCCCTTCTGAAAAAGAAGAGATACAAAAAATCTTACGTTTGCATGTACCAATGGATTAAAACAACACTCAAGGCGGTGAATACAAAGACTAGTTTTTTGTGCCGAACCAATCGATGAAAAAACCACATCATGTATCTCTGAAGATTTGGCATTGATTTGGCTTCTACTTATACTGAGATAGAGGTCTGCTTCGCTCTTTGTCACATTTCAAAAAATGTAGAATTTTATATCCCTGAAAAAAAATTCAACACATATAGTACAACAGAGCTCTATTCTACCAAATCATGGTTAATGTTACTGCTTCTTAGGGCTGAGTATTGGCCAGAGATTTGGTATTGCAATATATTGTGTCTAAATAATTTTATTATAAACAATAATAAGAATATTTTTGTTGTGGAAACAGTGAAAGAATTAATGTAAGGAACACACGGTTAGTAATATTTTGAGATGACAGTTTTAAAAACATGGAGAAAAAAATGGAGAAACAGCATACTTTTTTGTGCACAATAAATATGCAGATTTTTCAATGGGTGGCTCTGTAGCTCTCTAGTCTGTCAAAAAAAATAATAATTTGGAGAGCTAGTTCTGCAGCTATGTTGAACTGGCCTCTGGACTGGTGCAATAGTGTTCCAATCATTGATTATTATAATTGAAAATCCGTCCATTGCAGGCATAATCCAAGCTCTCAATTACAAGTTTTAAATTCTCTTTAATCAGTTAATTAATAATTTTTTTTTTAACAAGTGAAATGGATTTTAAGCAAAATATATTCCAGGCACCACTTATATATACATGTATATATAACATTTTTGAAGAAGTTTCCCATTATATCACAAATATAATAATTTTATCCATATGTCCCGAAAAACTGCTAAATCACGGCGGATATATAGTTATATTCCACCGGAAACATTTACATTGCCCTCCCAAACACAGGGCTTTCCTGTCAACTTGGGGCAAATACTCTGGTATGCTGCCCTCTAAGCCATGTTAGTATATGTATAATGTATAAACTACGAGAGTACTTGATAGAGGAGTAAAGATGTTTGAAATCTCGCTTTTTTGCAATTGGCCCTTTGGGGTAAGAATTTGGAAGAATTAATCCAGAACCGAGCACACTTTTTTTTGCGCAATATACAGTTTTTTCAATGGGTGGCACTGTACAAATATAGCTCTCCGATCTGTCAGTATATATTTTTTTGGAGAGCTACATTTCTGCATCTAAGTTCAACAGAGTGAGTGCTCACAAACATTTCTATTGGAGGTATAAGGAATTTTGGAGAGCAGTCACTCTGTTGAACAGGCCTCTGATTATTGATGCAGGGGTCCGGGTTCGATTCCCGTTCCCGGAGTCATACATTTTATCCGTCCCTAAAATCCTGCAACATTTTCCATCTAACGTTGTACTTGCACCACATAAAAATAATTATCCCGCTTCAGACTAATTTGTCGATTACTGATTGGATAAAAGCTGATCACATGACGCCCTGAAATTTTCCGTATTACGTCTCCGTTGAGGCGTAATATGAAAATCGGGCACGCGATTCCGTTCGAAGCGTTGTTATTGTAAATAAAAATGGCGGCTAAGAAACGGTTTACGTAGGTATAGTTTAGTTAAATTTCTTGTTACTGTAAAAGTAATGATATTTTATGTTGATTGTTATTGAATTAAAACTTAATATTTTCATAATATGCGCAAATGTTTTTTTTAAATCGAAAAAGGTCTTCATCGGGATAAATTCGTTACACAGTCAGTTAGTGACCTAATACGGATTCATACAGGGTGTGAAATGGAAATCCGTATTGGGACTCGGCTTCGCCTCGCCCAATACGGATTTCCATTTCACACCCTGTATGAATCCGTATTAGGTCACTAACTGACTGTGTAACTAATAATATATGACATTTATGGCGTTTGCCAAATTTCTGGTTACTTTCAGTTTAGTTGCATTGAACAGTTAATGTTGAATATTAGGATTTGACTGTTGTATATATAGATCTAGACCTCTATCCTTCGCCTTATCAGTCTAGCACAAGTACTAACGATTTTGATACTTTACCTGGAATTTCTTGCACGTGAAATATCAAAATTTGTTTGAAAAAAATGGAAAACGACCGATTTTCGAACCACAATACTAGAATTATACTATACCATGCTAATTTAATATAGAGGAAATTCGAACGATCGTGTGTAATAAAATCCGACTGATAATTTAAGCTACAGGATGCAATCTTCTAACAAACTTTGTCCAATATCAAGGTTACCATTAAATTCTTCAGGTGAAAAAGGGAGTTTTACTGCCTGTCATATTCCCATCAGGATTTTCTTTAACACAAAAGGCGACGCAAGCAATCCGTGCAAAGCAATGGACTATGACAACAAATAAACTGGTTACTTTTCTCCTTTCGAGAACCAGTTTAATTCAAGGTGTGCGGATCCAAAACAATTCACAAGATATTTGAAAACAGTGGCGAATCCAGCAATCTTGAAAGGGGAGACACTTTTGGGGCCGGGGTAGTCAGACATAGCATATATAAAAATTCGGGGAGTGAATGCAAGATCTAATTTTAATCAGATCGAGTCTAAACATGTTAAAACCAAGCGGACCCCCCTCGTCTCTCCCTCTTGTCAAGAACTGAAGCGGAAGGGATCTAGGGCAGTTTTAATCACACAACAAAAGGAGAGAAAGTTAGAATTTAGATTTCTGAAAACACTGATCTAACTTTTTCTAAATATCGGAAACTAAGGGCTCTGAACACCCACAAGTATAGGCCTAACATGCATGCAAGGAACTTGACGTTAGTATATCATGTATATAGGTCCCTGTTATAAAATATTTTTAATCAATGAAGAGAAGGCTTAAAGGTTACTTTAAAATGTTTCCGTAATATGTAGATGGAGGTGGACTCTCCTTCTCTGAGAATAATCTTTTGCTGTAGTTTTCATTAATATTTTAATTTGGAAGTTCCCTCCATATTTTTTGTTGCCAGAAAATACGCAGTTTCAAGCATTTGAAAGTAAAGTATCGAACAGAAAAGTTACAGGAAGCACCCTTCTCAAAAAAGGATTTTAGATCGAGCTTGTTGCATAATTTTTTTTTTTTGCTTGTCAACTGTGTTTGGAAGTCCCCTTTCTTATAAATGTAGCTACAGACTTGAAGTAGCCATGGTGTGATGCATGAATGCTGGGGGCACCAACCTAGAATTACGTCCCCTGTCGAAAATTGCTCTATCCGCCCCAGCTGTTTTACATCTATATATGTCAAGGTTACAAATGTTAAGAATTGACAATGATTTACAATGATGAAAAAAATTCCTTATAAGTTACATTAATTTCTTTTATTATCTAAGGTGGGAAAAAAGATTTTGGATTCTGTGCCATATACGCCCTTTGAATACCTGCGGATAATGTTTTGAGAGTACAGAGGTGGTAAAGTTATTTTTTAAAATTTATTTACTTAATTTTTATTTGATTTTACTTCCTTTCTTTCTTTAATTTCTTTTGGCTCAGACTTGAATATACAGGTATGCGAAAGATATAAAGACATATTATCTTTTTGACTTTGACGTATGTTTATGTCAACTTAAATTTAGAAATATGAAGAAACGTTGTGACTTTCAACCGTGAACGTAATGTGGGAAATAAATGCACATATATTTTTTTCCACATTAAACGTTCAAAATCACAATTTTTCTTCATATTTTCTAAAAATCGAAGTTGACATCAATACGCAAAAGTAAAGGAAGAATAATTAATCAGGAATCTAATAAAAATACTATTTACATGACATGTCTCTTACAGCATGTACAGAAGCAACTTGTTTTAGCAGAATGTTAACAGTCCAGTAACCCTTCCTCTATTTATATTAACTTCACTGATAAATATATATAACTTTTTAAGGTAATTAAATTTGATTCAATTAAAAGCCAAAGTACGTGTATATAATTAGATATAACTTTTTAACCCTTTATTTCTAACATATGAAATGTCACGCAATGAAGTTTATGAGTACAGTTAATTTTAATTTTGGCGATTTAAAACTTTTTAAAAATGTTTTATAAAAGATACAAAGCAATATGAGCTGCATTTTTGAGAATTTTATTTTGCTGGTAAAATGTGTTATTATGATTAATATGTATGTAATCTAAACCCTTATGATCAATAAAACCAAAATAAAGTTTAAAAATGTTTCAGAAGGAATATTTCTGTACAACCGAATATACAGTATTATATAAGAAATAATTATTGTACAGGACGACAATAATTCAATTTTGCTTCAATCAAAGCGTATTAAAAGTTCTTTCATAGCAAATATGAACAACAGAAGTTTATAAATGTTCTATTTTTCTGCCATTGAAATAGTTAATTACAAATTTGCAACATTTTTTCCTGATGTCAAAAATGCAGCTAACATTGCTTTAACATTTTGTCACTGGCATTTTGAATTTTCTACTGCTTTCAGAAAACCAAAGGGTAACATTACTTGATTTCACGTAATCACTAAAATTTTGTATAACTGAATATTAAAATCATTATGATTTAGTTAAATGAAACAAAGTATGTGGCGGGCCTCTGTTGGTGACCTCAGTGTTTATGTGATGCCCCCTCCTCAAATACACACTCAAATTATAAATAAACCAACACACAAACCAAAATAATTAAAAACGGAAAAAGACAACGAAACACAACCCCTCCACCAAAAAAGAACTTCCGTACCTCATCCCATCTCCCATCTACTCAACCTGAACCCCGGTCCTAAAAAAACAAAACCCATAACCCCCCCTTATCCACACACAGCCTGACCCTAGACTCCCTCAAAAATAGCCACCGCCACTGCCCCCCCCCCCCCAAAAAAAAATGACTAAAATCAAAAGTTATTACCATTCACAAATTGTTTCCTTTCCAAATTGTCAAGGGCAGATGGCAATTTTATAGGTGTGTTAATTCATTATTTCTTTATCAAATTAAGGTGACATTTTTTGACATGAACGCATTAAAGAAACACTATCTGCACTCAAACTCTAAGTAAAAAAATATATTACCTAGCACTTTAAATAAAACAGATGCAGGTGATAATATCTTAAAGGTATATTTATGTTTTTGCATGCATTTAATTAATTTTTTTGGTAAAAAAATATTGCGATATATAGCAGTTTTTATACGTTTTATATATTACCAAAACTATGGGGATTGAGATACCAAATTAATTTTTTTCTCGATCTTCTGACAGGATTATTTATAAGAATACGAGAAATAGACGTGTATTCTACAACTACAATAGAATATTCTCTCGACCTCTTTTAGTACACCATACTTTTACGAATGTTCAGCACCATTAATGTTAAACACGCATCCCATCTATTCAAAATGTTTCCGCATAAAATTAAAACTATTTTTAGAGTTGAGGCGTAAGAGAATTTGAAGACTGACATTCTGTGTCTAACACAACATCGTCTATTTTTTTTCTCTCAGTCGTTTATTTGCATTAGGATAATGCAGTACGACCGCTCTTTCAAATGTAATGTCATGGACGCGAAGATGGTCACTATTTTCCTTTTCGTAGTTTTTGGATTTCCATTCGCGTCAAATGCAATCAACACTGCAGATGTTTCAACAATGCCCGAATCAGAGAGTGATTACGAGCGATTGCGTCAACGCGTCTCTCGTGAATCGATGATCACAACGACGATTATGAATAGCGTCAACGTTCTGCAGTTGGAAGTGACCACGATGTTAAGAGAACAAACTCAACAGAACAGAGGAATCAAACTTCTTATGGAACAAGTGGCCGCCTTGTCAAAAGTGACCACTCAGTTAAATTCCGAATTAAAGGAAGCGAAAAGAAATTTGACTGAATCTAACTTAAAACTTAAGCAATTGATCAACAACACTGATAGAAAAATTGACGACAAATCGAACATGCTTTCGGGAGAAGTCGGTGATATTAAAAAAGAACTTTCAAGACAAAATAACGATATTGAAGTGCTTCAAGTAGACTCAAAGCAACTGAAGAGAACTTCGGTGGATAATGGATCATTTCAGGATAAATACGCCGCCATGACACGTGAACTCAGCGAAATGAAAACTGCAACGGGAATGAATAGTCACGTGATCGAGGATTTACAGAAAGAAGTAAACCATCTGAAAGAAACTACTCTAACTAATGCAGAATTCCAGGAAAAACAGTCCTTTATCATGGATGAGGTAGAATATGTCAGATCAAATGGCGCCAATCATAGCCACGTGATTTTTAAACTTCAAAACGAGGTTGCATCTCTGGGTCGAAATCAAACCAATTTTGATTATCAGTTAGATGACCTTGACCAAAGGGTATCTTCCTTGCAGAAAAAGAGTAGTAAATTCGAAGATGGTATAACAAAGCTTAGACGAAATGTAACATCCTTGGACTCTAGCAATAGAGGGATGAGTGTAATAGTTACAGATTTACAAGGCGAGATGACTCTAGTACAAAAAACCAGCAAAGATATGGGAGACATTGTGTTGAGACTAACAAACGATTTGATAATTCTCCAGTCAAGTGCATCTGAACTCGGTGACGATATGATAGATGTCAAAAGAAACGTAACGTTACTAAGGGAAGAAAATAGGGACCATTTAGCTTCTCTTATCAACCTGAAAAGAAATGTTTCCGGCATAAAGAGCATGCAAAGTTCTATGCAGGACGATGTTTTGAGAATGTTAAAGATCGTAGAATCACATAAAGATAGCAGTGAAGGGATGGCGGTAGTTATTTTTAGACTTACGAACAATGTGACGTCATTGCGTGAATGGGATGAAAGGTTGGAGAAGAAAGTTGGTATCCTGAACCAAAATGTAACGACATTACAAAAAGAGGACAGATTGCTGAAAAAGGAAATGAGACATCTCAAAGAAAATGTGACAGAAATTAACGATAAAAACAAAGGTTTTAGCGATACTGTTGATTCGCTTACACAAAAAGTTTATTCTGTCCATAGAGAGTTGAACAAATTAGACGAGGACGTGTTCGATTTGAAAAACAATGTTGTCGTATATAACCAGCGTAATAAAAAGCTTAGTGAATCATTGGTCGGACTTGATGGTAACATGACGTCAATTCAGCAGAAATTTGACTCGTTATATGACGTCATCGAAACTCTTATGTACAATGTATCTTCGATCGAGAAAGGAAATGGGCTACTTGATGACGCAATTGACCAGTTGAGTCTTAATGTCAAGTCCTTGCAGAAAAAGAAGGAAAGTACTGGAGACGTCCGACCACGTCCTTCGAATATTTACCAAAACCAGGTGGCACTACCAGGGAATGCTGGTAAGTACAAGTTGATATAGCAAACATGTCACAACTTGCGCTTTCAATTTAAAGATTGGCAGCATTTATGTTAGAATTTTTTCTCTCCCAGAAATGAAAATCACATAGCCAAACAATTTTATCAATATGAATGTTGAAGAAATGCTGCATCATTTATATTTAAAGTTTGGACATCAGTAATATAAACATCAAAGTCGGAACATGTTTTTTGAAACACCCTGTAGATATGAAAAGACCCACTTAAAATTAATTGCTAAGTTACAATTACAATTTCTTTTACTATTACATGTTCAAAGAGAGAATACACGTATAACTTGTTATATATATATATAGTCTTTATACTTTTACGTGAAGGAAAATGTAAGATTTAGATATATATTAAAGAAGAAAAGAGGTTCTTAATTTATCCACTTGGCAATACTCGATAAAATTATAAGTAAAAGGAACGAGTTTTTGTTAAATTATACAGTTAAATCACGTTGTTTTGCATTTTATTGTAATATGAAATAACAAAAGCGAAACAGTTGCCTAATTACCTGAGAAGTTTTGATATATGTTTTTGTGTCATGCATGATAAATGGGGTGCATTTTTTGAAGCAACATGTGAATAATTTCATGTTAAGTGTAATTTATCTTATTTTGTTAATTAATCTGTAGAAAATTCTTAGTAGTACAGACCCACGCCTCTTAAACGTCCTTAACATATATAGTTCACGTTAACAAATACAAAATTACGGAGTCCGACATACATGTAAATAGAGCTTACGTACTGTTTGTGTACTTAAAAAAGCGGGATTCCTATTTAATCGGATTTGGGGCAGACATTATTTATGAATACCGTAAGAAATAATATAAAGTATGTAGCGCTAATTCATGAATACGCCAACAAGCCAATACCTAGTGATTGCGCTAAATTTTGAATACGCCAATTTATGTACAGTATTTTCTTCTTCGTTGCAAGATAAAAGTTCATGGAATTTTTACTTGAACCAATGCCATATCCAATATACCACTTTCCTTCGTTAGAACATAATGTTTCTTTTGAATTGAATTATCATATTTGAAAACAAACGTGTTTATTTTCGTTTGAAACTCTGCCTAAATAAATAAATTTCTGTCAATCATTCTTTTTATAACGACATTTCTATGGCACAAGTAGCACACATTGATATTTTCTTCTATCCCCAAATATACTAATGTCTTAAACCTTTTACTAATTTATATAAAATGTCGACGATTGTCTTAATTAGTGGCGTAATAAATAAATACAACTGGTTAAAAATTAATGAAGGAGTTTAAAACACTATAATGTTTTTCTTGTATTGCAATATTAAATTAAGAAATGCTAATTAATAACCCGTTTTTGAGAAATGCATTGTTAAGTTGACAATCCGTAGGAATCCGCCCTGTGTCTCTATTTTATCTCCTTAATAAATTACAAACAAGAGAATTATTTGAATAAACAGTTCTCATGTGCAGCCTAATGTGCAGTTGTAGGTTCTTACACATTTTTTAAAATACCTTGTCATATTTTAATGTGTACAAATGCGGCGGTTTAAATTTGAATTAATATTTATAAGGTTTTTATTCTTTTTTGAGAAGTCGTCATCGTCACTGTATGGTAGACAACGATCTTTCTTTCCATTTAAGAGCATGAATACAAAAAAGTCATGTATATATTAATTTTCTTTAAGATTTAATATTTATTCTTTTTTTTTTTTTTTTTTTTTAACCAATATTATCATCATTTCAGCTTGATGTAACATATAAAATTGCTACAAACCTATCAATTTACACATTTTCAAAATATTTTTTCTGTTTTTTTTAGCTACAAATATGCAACTTTTTTTTAAATTTAGAATTTTCAAAACATATTTGCAAATGACTGAAAAAAATTGATTGCTTTTTAAATGTGACAGAGAAAGCTTAGGAGAAATCAGATTTAGGTGCCCTACAGAAGACTTGTTGTAGTTTTTGCAGCAACTAATTAAATCAGGAAGTATTCTTAAGGAAGCTCTTTACACAACTCATTGAAGAGTTCTAATTTCTTGGTAGATTTTTGCAGTTTGAGTTATCTACCATTTGATGTATACATGTATAAATTGAACAAAAAATGCTTCATTAAATGACAAAGAATTGAAAGATATTGATTTATTCTTAACATTATATTATTGTTATCAAAGTTAACTATCAGCGATGCATGCAATTTCATTTATTATGAAAAAAGTATACTTTTATTTATACTAGACTAAATCATTTCTATTTTGCACTTTAACAGGGACACCTCGCGTGGCGTTTACATCTCAGATCAGTTTAGAGGGCGCTATGTCTGACGTCAAAAGAAACCAGACGATCGTGTTTGATTTAGTGGAGTATAACTTAGGACGAGGCTATGACCCTACGACCGGGAAATTCAAATGTGAAGTTTCCGGAACTTACGTGTTCTTCTTCAACATCTTGACCAGGCCTCATATGAGATTAGGAGTGGATCTAACAATTAATGGAGAGACAAGGTCCGCTTGTGCTTATTCAGGCGCGGATCCAAACTTTAGTGTCAATGGAAGTAATATGGTAGTTGTACATTTGAACAAAGGAGATGAGGTTTGGGTCCGTGCCCACAAAAGTCGAGATCCACCACCCGGTGTAATGTTGTCAAGTTTTGCAAACAGTTTTGCTGGATTCCTGTTGTATGCAGATATGCAGCTTGATGGATGATCTATAACCTTTTTAAAGACATCATGATCTGATGGCATGCTTAACAACATGTCTATTAGCTTTCTTTTCCTCTCATTAAATCATTTTAACCGCTGTAAATAACTCTTGTTTAAAAACATTAAAACTACAATGTATTAAAGGGATCATAACTCGATTTTAATAAGCATAAATGTATGAATCTACTAGATCTTTTTATGTAAATTTAATTCATTAGGTCGCCTTTTAAATATTGCTTTGTTTCCTCCTTCCAATGCAGGGTAAAACAATTGGGAAAGAAGGTAGGCGGAAATGTCTTTTTTTCCAGAAAATTTCAACATATTTGTTTAGATAAAGAGAAGAATAAATATCGTGTCCTGGAATAGAAATAACAGTCTTGAGTCGAACCATTTTTAGTCAGTCGGTTGGGAGAGGACAACTAAACATTTTTTTTTTTTAAAGATGGCCTATAAATCTAACACCCTGAAAGGTGATAATCTCTTTTTCTTGTCAATGATCAAATTATCTGAATTAGTAAGTATCTCTTCATTAGTCCAAAATGGAAATACGTGTACTCTTTTAACACTGTTTAATGTTTTTTTAAGATCCATATATTAGGAGAAAAGTACATGTGAAATGATTAATTAGTATGAACGTGTACGAGTTGTTTAATCTATATATTTATCAAATACTAGTAAATGTGGAGTATCTTGCCTAAAAAGAGGTATTGTATCCTTATCAAGACAAGGATTATTTTTTTCGTAGGAAGGGAAAAATAAAGAAAGGCGTTCATTATTGTTACTAACTGTTTATTGATTGGTTGGATTAATCTACAAGGTATTGAATATAAAGAGATGGTGTTAAAATAAAATAATAATCAGACAATTAAGAAATATCATATTGACAAAATAGAAACTAGATCATAAAAAGGGTAAATTAGAAAAAGACATGAAGTACTGTAAATAAGCGTTATTTGCGTGCGAGATATATCCGCGAAATCGCCACTTACATGCTTAAATTCGCAAATACTTGTCGCTGCAAACCTTTTATCTTACAGAATGTACTTTATATTTAAGAAGAATGTTTCCTATGTCGCGAAAATTAATCGCAGTGAATTGATTTCAGACAAGCAAATTGCGAATAAAAGAATTATAGCTGGTTTACTGGAAATAAATAAAGTAATGTAATTACATGTAATTTTGAAAACACATAAATAAAAAGGAAATAATTATGGCAGTTTAACTAAAAACTTGTTGACCGTTTATTTTATCTATAAAAAGAGTATTATTATTAAATAATCAAAGAAAGAAGCGGCTTGATTTATTAGCGAATAAAATTCTCATTGGTAAAGGCGCCGCCCACTTCATTTGCATATCGTTCACCAAACCGTAAAGTTCCCAAAACAAATTAAAACGAACTGTACACAAAACGAAAACACCATTCCCACAGAATACCGTTTCCACAAAAAAACTATAGTTTTCTTGTGTAAAAACTACAATAGCAAAACTCTTCATTTTTATACCATATATGACTTACATTAACTTCAGTGTACATGCAAAGTTTGGGGGGAATCTACTGTCCAGGTATTTTTGAGGGACCGTCTCAAAATACAGGTACATTTACTATAGGATTGTATAGGAAAACGCCAATTTTTGGCACTTTAAAGCAAATTATACAAATACTACAATAGACATTCTGTTCAAACTATAATATTTGATGAGTAATACTATATTATACAATATATGTAAGAAACGCAAAATTCTACCGTCTTGTTACCAGAGGGGGCACCTCAAAATGCAAAAAATTAGCAAATTTTACTATTTTCATAGAGTATTACAAAATATGACGTATACAATGGATTCACATGAAAAAATAATAAAAATATTGGAGATATTCTCAAATTTCGATGTTTTAAGTTTCAAGAGCGTATGTTCATTACTTTTTCTTTCATTATCTATTTATTACCCCTTTTTTTCAGAGATACATATTATATTATTATAACAGTAACTTGATCCGAAGGGTCGTATCACGTCGAGTTGACAGGCGCGGATCATCAGATCTAACGAGACGCGAAGCGTCGAGTTTGATCTGATGATCCGCGCCTGTCAACGAGACGTGATACGGCTCTTCGGATCAAGTTACTGTTATAATGATAAATTTATTATATACCCCCTCATAACTAGCAAAATATAGCAAAAGAAAACTTTAGAGATCAATTGCATAACATTTATCCATAAAACAAAGCATAATAACAAGGGAATTTTTAACGCGCAAGAAAAATAACGTCATTTTTCTGCGTACTACGTCATGAGTTTCAGAGAGTGGTGATATGGATTCAGAAAACAACATGTTGGTGATCCGGAAAATCGGATCACGACGTCACGTGATAGCGTAAATTCAACAGTAAAATTGGGTGATACACATTAGATATATAATAAAAATTATCATAACGTCATAAACACGCTGCAACGTCGTCAACCTACCTATCAATTGCAAAATCGGTTAAAAAATCAGTTATATCAAATTGTTATTACATTTTTATACCTATCATTTTTAAATTTTGTTTAATTTCAATAATTAAGCGAAAAAAGTTGCATTAAAACAGTAAATACGCTTCATTTTACTATGATGCGCGAAATATTGCGCAATGGAAACTATAGTCGGCCCCCCTAAAAAGCTCTCATGAGCCTTTTGTTACATGTAAGGTGAGATATTTTAAAAAAAAATAATTTCAAACTTCATCAACTATATTCATTATTAACTACTTTTTTTTAAAAAGATATTTGGCTCATTATGAATTTTGAATAAATTGCATAAATATCTTCTTAAAGTCTGTTTTCATTTTTTGCCCCTAACGAACAGGTGTTGCCTAAAAATTGATACAAATTATTAAAAATAGGTTATAAAATAAAATTCGAACTTTTTAAAAAAGGAATCACAAATAATTAATTTTTAGAAACTGAATTATAACAAGCATATAGGAGACATCTTGATTATAAAAGAGGCCTTAACAAAATTTTCACATTAAAAAGATACGATGTTTTAGCAAGACATAAATTTCGACTACATCTGTAGAACATAGCCATTTCATATAATAGCAATTTTGATAAATATAATTTACGAAAATAGATGTCTTTAACAAATTCCACGTCTTATTTGAGGACGAACACACCAATCTCTAGATTTTTAGAAGGCCGATTGAACTGACATTGATGCGGTTTCTTCGGTCTGAGGACATTCTACTGTACACGTTATCTCTGGCCCTCCGAAGATCAACCAGCATTTAACATAACGTTCCGTACATGACGATGTAGGGATGCTTATTGTAACTGTTCCTAGAACCTTACAATTGGGTTCATCGATGTACATCGGATTAGGTGATTTTGACTTAAATAGCCTGAAACCAATCTCTGACTGATTTGGATAAACAGGTAAATAAAACATACGTGATGCATGTTTGCCTTCATATAAAACCTCACCAATCCTAACATGGATACTGAAAAAATCTATACAATAGTCAATTCCACAAATATTTCTCCTCTTCATAGGCTTGTGGATTTTAGGATCGAATACTCTTAAGGAGTCAACACCGAAAGTGTACTTAGAAATACGTGGCGCAAAAGAGGTTCCTCCAACCAATCGAATAGCTCCTTCGAGGACAGCGATTCCTGCTCCTACTGATAAAACCTGGCATTGCGGAAAAGCATCCTTTACAGCATTTTGTACCATTTCAGATTCAGAAAAGCCTCCAACCATGAGAATCTTCTCAAGTTCTAAACGTTCTTGAGAAGCCATCAATGTCTGCATGTGTTGTATAATTTTACTACAAGTTGGCTCGAAGAAACTTTTGAACAAATCCATGTCAATAATGAGCTTATCGTGCCGCACATTTATATGATCACGGTACTTTGATTCATTAATTACAGTTTTCAAATTTTTCCCTAACTGGTCTTCACATTCGACAATCAGAGAGACAGGCACACAAAGAGAAATTGTTTTGCTTTGTCCATAATTAAATCGTCGTTTCTTCTCTTCAAACAGAAAAAATAATTCCATGTAGTCTGAAAAATATTTTTTAAAGTGTTCCTTCATTACGTTTTTACTAAATAATTCCACCAAAAAGGCTTCGAAGGCTTCATCTACGTTTACTCCACCAAGATTCTTAACGCTCCTTGTAACAAGCTCCAGCAGTTTTCCATTTTGTAATGATTCATATACATATATATCAAGCCTCAAACCTAAAATAAAAAGAAGAAATTAGATTGCTATATTCGTCTATGGCATGACTACAATATTGACATTATCTGAATGATCGGTCTAATCTTTGCATGAACTTTTAATTTTTGGTATATTTTTGGTAAATTCTCACTCCTGGGAAACACAGAAAAATATACATAGGTTATTTTCACCTCTTACTTCATGATGAAAGAAATGAAGTTTTTTATCCTTAAAAAAATTCTTGATACAATGTATTGACCCCCCATCCCCTCCTCGATAAAAAAAAACATCCTGAAATTATGCTTAAAGCGCTTTTTTATTCGACAATTCCAACACTGTAGAAATGCAGAAAAAATCTCACGGACAAGACCTTTTAAGAATGGCAGTGAATATAATGTTGCATGCAAGAAAACTAGAGAAACTAAACATATAATATCAATGTTTTTTAGTTGCAATTATTGTATACCGTGTAATTATTGTTTCATATTCTGGTTTTGTTGCTAAATCACAGGTTAGAAATTCGTAAAAATCAGCTTGTAGAAAATTTCGCTGGTAAGCTGTAGCCTCTTAGCTTTTTACCTTAAAAATTGATCCTATACTGCCTCACGCACATGGTGTCAGTCAAAAAATTCATACAGGTTTAAATGTCTTATTTTTACATGCATATGCTAAAAGATATCAAAAGAGAGAGGGAGATTGATAGAGAGAGAAAAAACATACCACCAACATCCAGAAGCAAGTACTTTCTGCCAGGGTGAAACATGTCTTTGATTTCTCCGCTTTCAGTTCCGAACTTGTGAAGACTGTTGTAATAAACCAATGCTGCCTCAGGATCAAGTACGATAAATACATTGTTTGAAGATATACCAGCCTATGTAAGGAGAAAAAAAAATCTTATTTTATATAAAACCCTTTTAAGATCAACTTTGTAATTTTTTTTATTAGATGTTAAACATACATTAATTGCTGCTTTTTGTATTAAACCCTTTGCAGAATCCTTCCAATGTGATGGAACAGGAAATGTCCAAGCTATTTCATCTGGCATAAGTTCTTTTCCTTTTTGTTTCAGACTGTTCAGGCATTCGTGGTGAAAGTATTTTATCGCCATAAAGAGTAAATCCACAGCTGGAATCTCCTTGCCCATAATATCTGGTATCAAATTCTATATGAAAACAAGTGCATAAATAAAAAAAT